TGAAAAATTCATAACAAAAAAATCAATAGAAATAACAAACATAAAATAGAAATAACAGCCGAAAACTAGCTCCTGTACGAGGCGGTCGACCAGCTGACCATTCCTGGCAATTTGCCAATCAGCGTATTGATTTTTCACCAACTTCGCTTTAGTGCGAATGTGGTGAAGGACAACTTGAACACGTAGTCAGCCTAACGAGGGGCGGAGGCCTCCCGTCCCCCACTGTTCCTGGCCTTATTGTGCCCTATCCAGCCGTTTTCCGACCTAATTCCTGCACAAATGTTATCAGAGGGGGCTTAGAATTCTAACCACGTGTATATCTTCGAAACCATTCATTCGTTAACAGTGCCTTTAATTTCGAAATCACTTGAATATTATTCGTTATCAATCAGGCTTTCGTTTATCAACAAATTCATAAAAGGGAACTGTTTGGTCACTTCCCGTCAATCAGATCGTCTTTCTCGGCTTACCATTACCGAGGCTCCCGCTCCGATTCTGAGTGTGGATGTCAAAAGCGGAGGCACATCCCAAAGAGAACTGACCAAAGACAAAAAGACTTGCTCTCATATTCCCAAAATATCACCACATTCCCAAAATATCTCCATGGCGGCCGTTTTTTCTTCTATCGGCAGGAACACCCTTTTTGAATATTATCAGCTCCCTTTAATATCTATAATGTTTACTATCTTGCATGCGCCTAGCATCCGATTAGATGTATCACTCCTTAGCATTGACGCAATTCCTTCTCATATCACACGGGTATACCCCTTATATCACTCTGATAGCGCTGCATATTGTGTAAAGCCTATTTTATACAAAATAAGGTTTTAATTTATCTTAGAAAAATGTGCTCGTTAGGCCAACATCACTACGATTGCTATCGTGACAAATAGTATACAGCACCATAAGGAAATTCTGTATGAGGTACATAGTTAGCTATGAGGCCTACTGTGTGTCGATCCTTTACGATGACAACGTAGGATTGATAAAAGCTGCATTATTCTGCCGTTTCTCACCGCCTGGCACTCCTTTCAATCCTTTCTAAACGGGTAAATCTGGTAGTTGTACTTCATAGGATACAAGGATGCAACCACCAGTTCCGACCGCGTAATACTCCGCTGTATCGCCTTTTGGGCGGAGATGGTGTAGTGGCAAGTGGCGCGCTATCTCATACGCACTGTCAGGGGATCGAATTCCGGATCGATGCCCGCCTAGGCCAACCAAACCTTCCAATCCTCCGGCGTCGTTAAACTGGTACCGGACTCGTCTGGGAGGATAAAAGCACTGAATTGTACCTTGGGTGACCACCGCAAGTCATTGTACAGGCCACATACGTACTCATTACACCACTGCGATTCTGAATGGAAGTCTAGTGCCGGGGTCCTCTCTCAGAGGAATTGTTCAAGTCAGATCACTTTTTTCTTCTGATGAAACCCGGTTTGATTATAGAATAGTTTTAGGTTCCTTGACACTGTCAAAACTAACTACTACTACAAAAAAATTGTCGTTCTCGCCTAGCGTTATCTAATTTTTTTCCGAAGAACGTTCCGATGCAGCTGGTGACCTTTCGACTTGAAACGAGCTAACGGTATTGTATTATGCCCACAGAATTTCTAGTCTACCGAACTTTGGGCAGGCCTCTTATGCTCGAACATCGACACTTCATACTAAGCGCACACCATCAACACTCAAGCGTGAACTGCTTTTTAATTTTTTAAGGTTTTTCTTCCTCTCAAATGCTTGAATGTTATTGACACCACGTAATACCCCTGTTAGGCTTCACAGTAGCCAATAAAGCCAAACAGCACAACTATTTGTGGGATCTTTTTTCTTGTCAGTTCGATCTGATTCGCTGATCCGAAATCCGATGCATCAAATGTCAATTCCATAAGGATATTGGAGCCCTCACGAAGAAAATTAACCCAACACTTTGTTATGTCGAGTTGCTAGTCTTCCATCACAATTACTATTTACTACCATCGCAATGAAAACAATAAATTATTCTTTTCCCAGAAACCCTATTCCATTCGTTGGTAGGTGAATGTGGGTGAGGTGTAGCGTGATGGAAGCTCGGATTTCATCGTAAACAATGAAAACTTTTGGTGTCAACAGCAACATTAACCGAATTTCAGGAATACTTAATTAACATTCCTTTAAGGTTGTGGTTCGAATTCATAGTGGGAGAATACGGTAGCCTTCGCTGAAGCACTGCCACTCGTCATAGGAATTCGGGGAGAAGTACCGCTGTCCCCCTATCAATCTAGGCCACAACAACTCGGTTCCCTAAAAAGAGGGAGGGGGAGGGAAGGGTTTGGAAGGGGTATTTTCAAAAATAGCAAAATTTTCACTACTTTTTTGAAACCCTCCCTTTCAAGCGGCTCAGTTTTCATGCTGTACGTATCAATAAGAGGCTTATGGCTTCCAAAAGATTCTAAGAGTTCAGAGGTAGGGTAAAGGTGTCAGGTGGTGTAAAGGGTCTCCGTGACACCCTCCTCCCAATACGTTGAGCCTTTCCAGTTTAGGGAAAGCGTTTTTTACTCAAAATGGTAACAGAATACCAGAATCGATGAAAACAATCAACCTATTGAAAAGGCAAGAAACGTCAATGGATGTGGATGGAGTCGAGCCTTCAATTATTTCAATTATCCAACACCAGAACCATTCTTCAATGTTGTTTTCGTCTTGCTAGCTGAAACGAGAGAGCTATTATTTTATTTTCGTTCGACTATATTTGACTATAGACTATAACTATAAAGTAATTGAGCAGACCAAGCAGACCTTGATCGTTCCGAAGTTCCTCTCTTTGCATCACACTGTCTTTGAGATTCTCCCTTTTGTAATATTCAAATTTGAATGAACATTGCTCTTCTTATTAATATTAAGAGGATCATACTAATGCGAATAATTGTTTACTGCTTTGATAATAACCCAGTAGAAATGGTCCCAACGTTGCCTCACTTGAAGTGGAGGGGTATCGTTTTCTTCCGCTATGATGGTACGTATCGATGCGAAGACTTAGGGTCTTCGAAGAAATGACAAATGCGTAGCAATGAACCAATATAGTATGTATATATGAGCAATAGTAAACAATCGATCGATAACGGTAAATAAAATACTTCCTTGAATATTTGATATAGTTTAGAGCAGGGTGCCTCGAAACTCGATCACGTCTTTACCATTCCCTTCCGACTCGTCCTTATTATTCTCTCACGGACCTCCATCGTAATACGCCTTAATATTAGTCCTCAAACGATGTAGGCTGAAGTAATATATGTATGGAAAAAAAGAAATATTCTGGTAAATTACTGGGAAAGCTTAGTTCCAAACAGAGCTCAGGTCCCAGGTGGAACAGGTGCTTGTATGTTACGGGCACCCCGTTATTTGTCTTCTACATCACCGAGATATTGAAGAGGTGAAGAATGCTTGCTCAA